AACTTTTGCTTACTGCAACATTGGCCGGCATCTTTCCAGTTAGTGCTATAAGTTGACAGTTAAACATATCACAATTTTGTCTCACTGCAAGAGTCATACATTTCTCTCACTGAAACACTTGAACCGGTCAGTTAAAGGGGTGCAGTCACCAGACTGTGCTCACAACTTTTACTCATTGCCAAGAGTCAGTTTTCACTGCAACACTTGTATCAGCCAGTTTTCACTGCAACACTTGTATCAGCCAGTTTTCACTGCAACACTTGTACCAGTCAGTTTTAACTACAACACTTGTACCAGTCAGTTTTCACTGCAACACTTGTACCAGTCAGTTTTCATTGCACCACTTGTACCAGTCAGTTTTCATTGCACCACTTGTACCAGTCAGTTTTCATTGCAACACTTGTACCAGTCAGTTTTCACTGCAACACTTGTACCAGTCAGTTTTCACTGCAACACTTGTACCAGTCAGTTTTCACTACAACACTTGTACCAGTCAGTTTTCACTGCAACACTTGTACCAGTCATTTAAAGTGGTGCAGACAACACCAGACTTTAGTCAAAATTACCTGAGGCAGTCACTTAATGTTGTGTTGACAACATAGTCACCAAAATAACAAAACAAAAACACAGATAATGATAAAACCTTTGCACACAAACTAATACTGTCATCGCTTCCTGCCCATTCCATCAATTCAACACCGAGGCAACAGTCAATTCAACATTGAATGAACAATGTTAAGTTAATGATCGTAAGCAAACACAAGTCACATGACATCTCCCTGAGCATTCATCTGTACATGTTAATATCTCATCAGTTGTGAATATTAACAGTTTACATGAGCTGTCAATGGTAGCAAATATGATGAGTTGTATATGTTACTATAACTACAATATATGCAAGTTAATATTTTACATAAGCACTAGATGATCACATACCCAATGAAATGCAGATGTTAATATTCCCAAAAGTTGTGAAGTTAACATTTTCCATAAGTTCTAAGCAGTAGCATAGGGTGTCTAAAGGTTAACACTACTGTTAAGTTGTGGAAGGTAATATTATCATAACTGTACAGGATATTTCCATTAAACTGCCGATGTAATCATTCTCAAGGTGACTCCCATACGAGTTCTGGGATCCTATTTTGGGCAGGAACAAGAACTGACCCAGTGGCCCTTAATAAGCACACTGTAAAAGGTGACCAATTGAGGGAATGGGATGTATGGACTCAAAGGCAGCCCAGCTGTAAACCACAACAAATCAAATACCCATTCAAGGGCAAATGCAGGAAACAGTTTTGTTAAAGTTGTAGATATTATTATTATGTGTTGTCCTTTTTCATCCATCATAGGTGAAGAGGACCACTGTTACTTCCATTCGTCGGGAAACTATACCTGAATATCTGTGAGCCCAGAGGTGACATAAGCCGGACTCAGAAGGATCTGGGACAATCATGGCAGGGAGCAGTGTATGTAGGTAAAGGGCTTGTGATACAGGTCCTTCTAGCCTGCCTACACGGTCCAGCTGCCCTGTTTCTAGCCTGCCTACACGGTCCAGCTGCCCTGTTTCTAGCCTGCCTACACGGTCCAGCTGCCCTGTTTCTAGGTGCCTCACAAGTCAGTGCATCTCATCGGGGAAACATTCACCATACTGTCCAGTCTAGTGCAGCAAGTAATATTTATGTTGATAGCCCCATTAAGCTGCAGATGTTAGTTGCAGATGTTACAGTGTACTGAACATGGAGAGACTGAGGCTTTACCACATACTTCCTAGTACAGCAGTGAGGACATTGTGAGCCAACCTTCACTGCGGAGATGACACACATTTATTTCATTAACTGATCGTGATCAAGATGAACCACTGACAAACAGATGTCGGGAAACAACCAATCAGCATATTCCTTTAATTAAAAAAAAAAAAACGCCGCCCAAAGAAAGGTTACAATCTCACCTCTCCTCTAATCTCACTCAAAATGGCAGAATCCAGAGAATATCAGAAGAAAGAGTGCAACTGCTGCCACCACAGACCTACTTTCATCAGGTCTTATCCTGAATCTGCTAGATGTTAATTATTCAGTGCTTACGCTTATCTAACAACTCTAATTCATACTTTAACTCCTACTGTTCCACAGTGTCAATATTTCAACTCTCCAAACCTAGAGAATTGATTAGTTACATAAAAAACTTCTCTGAAAGAAAGAGTTAAAGTTAAAAACCATTTAGTACCAAAAGTGATAAAGTTCAGTAAACTGGTTAGTACCAAACAACTCAAGGTCTTTTCTACCATGAGAGAGGTCAAATTAACCCTTTGTATCTGGAGGAGATGGTTTTGTCATCTAACCAGAATGCCCCAGCAACTACCATGACAGAAAAGAAGAAAAAAAGAAGAACACAGAGCAAGGGAAAGACCATGAAAAAGACGAAGCGAGGGCATCAAAGACAAGCTTAAAGAAATGAAGACCAGCTTATTTAAAATATCAGAAAGAGAGCACAGGTGATTCTCAGAGTGCCTCGTTAAAGATATATAATCAATGGAAAGAAAGGGAAGACCATGCAAGGACATGTGATGACAGCATCAGGAACAAAGAGATGAAAACCAGTGCATACGACATAGCAGAATATGCACACAGTAGATCCTTTTATTCTTATCACTCTCTCCCTCTCACCCACACCAACACCCTCCCTCTCACCCACACCAACACCCTCCCTCCCTCCCCCACTCTCTCTCTCACACACCCCCTCCCTCCCTCTCACACACCCCCTCCCTCCCACACACCACACTCTTCCCTTCCTCCCACACACACACTAACCTATTTATTTCATTAAGCTCAACTCGCTACAAAAGGTTATGCTCAACTCGATGGCAAAGTTTAAACAGCATGCCTGAGACTAAAAAAAGCTTAATTAACATAACTCTGAGACTGAAGTGAAGAAGTTAAAAGTAACGGAATTGAACATGGTCATAGAATGAGCCGAGAACTGTGTTCTATGTAATCAATTTATATATATGGGGACATGCCTGGCACTGAAAAAGTTGAAGTCACAACCTTGCAGAAATCTACAAAGACCTCGCAGGCTAGCAAGCTGTACCACAGCTAACAAACAAAGACCTCGCAGGCTAGCAAGCTGTACCACAGCTAACAAACAAAGACCTTGCAGGCTAGCAAGCTGTACCACAGCTAACAAACAAAGACCTCGCAGGCTAGCAAGCTGTACCACAGCTAACAAACAAAGACCTCGCAGGCTAGCAAGCTGTACCACAGCTAACAAACAAAGACCTCGCAGGCTAGCAAGCTGTACCACAGCTAACAAACAAAGACCTCACAGGCTAGCAAGCTGTACCACAGCTAACAAACAAAGACCTCGCAGGCTAGCAAGCTGTACCATAGCTAACAAACAAAGACCTCGCAGGCTAGCAAGCTGTACCACAGCTAACAAACAAAGACTTCGCAGGCTAGCAAGCTGTACCACAGCTAACAAACAAAGACCTCGCAGGCTAGCAAGCTGTACCACAGCTAACAAACAAAGACCTCGCAGGCTAGCAAACTGTACCACAGCTAACAAACAAAGACCTTGCAGGCTAGCAAGCTGTACCACAGCTAACAATAATGTTCTCTCAAGCAGTAAAGTAATGACTACCGAATGTACACCCTCAGTAGCTGTTCTAGTTCAATAGGATGGGCCTGGAATACATGACCAGTAAGCTGTTCTAGTTCAATAGGATGGGCCTGGAATACATGACCAGTAAGCTGTTCTAGTTCAATAGGATGGGCCTGGAATACATGACCAGTAAGCTGTTCTAGTTCAATAGGATGAGCCTGGAATACATGACCAGTAGCTGTTCTAGTTCAATAGGATGGGCCTGGAATACATGACCAGTAAGCTGTTATAGTTCAATAGGATGGGCCTGGAATACATGACCAGTAAGCTGTTCTAGTTCAATAGGATGGGCCTGGAATACATGACCAGTAAGCTGTTCTAGTTCAATAGGATGGGCCTGGAATACATGACCAGTAAGCTGTTCTAGTTCAATAGGATGAGCCTGGAATACATGACCAGTAAGCTGTTCTAGTTCAATAGGATGGGCCTGGAATACATGACCAGTAAGCTGTTCTAGTTCAATAGGATGAGCCTGGAATACATGACCAGTAAGCTGTTCTAGTTCAATAGGATGAGCCTGGAATACATGATCAGTAAGCTGTTCTAGTTCAATAGGATGGGCCTGGAATACATGACCAGTAAGGTGTACATAAAATTTGTGCTAGTAGACCAGGCAATAGTGTTGACAGCGAGTGATCTGTGCCCTTGTCCCCCCGCAGCCTTGGAGAAACTCTTTCACAGTTAATGACAACTTGTGCTGACAGATGTGACATGTGTCACAGTTAGTGAGACTTGCGGCAGTCTGCACTAGTGCTGAGTGACTGATGTTAGAGAAAAGTGTGCTGACAGTTGTGACATGTGTCACAGTTAGTGAGACTTGCGGCAGTCTGCACTAGTGCTGAGTGACTGATGTTAGAGAAAAGTGTGCTGTTATTGCCAGACCTGCTGTTCTCAGCTGAGGTTTGGTGTTTGTTCTGTTCATTCATAGTCCTCACCTGTTGGCTAAACAAGCAGCCCAACCTTCTTCACAAACTAACAAAGTCCAGCTCTCCAGATTTCTGAAGGAAATGTTCCTGGCGAGTAAGTGTGAAACCATTCTTGTTAAATGTTCCTGGCGAGTAAGTGTGAAACCATTCTTGTTAAATATTCCTGGCGAGTAAGTGTGAAACCATTCTTGTTAAATGCTCCTGGCGAGCAAGTGTGAAACCATTCTTGTTAAAGTCAATGCTGTAGTTTCTGTTGCCAGAATTAAGAGCACTCTCCCATGATATGGAATGAAATTTCTGGCAGCAGCCAGCTAATCCCAGAGATGCTTTCTCTTTTGTTATTTCCATTGGGCCTAGACTTGACTTTTGTGTTCAGTGTGGCAGGTTTAGACAACCAAGGCATCTACCGGCATCATTCTAAGACACATTGCTAAGCCCAAACACAACACTGCCAGCACTTGCTGCTTTTGGGGCACACAATGAGGACTTGAACAGGACTACAACGACGGAGATGTTGTCAGACGATCCTGAATCCCGAGCGGCACTGACCAGTTCAACAGCAACATTACGGGTGCCTCCAGAAGATGATTTGGAATGTTTGTAAACAATGTTGGTTACCTGCAAGCAGCAGCAAATCACACGTGTGTAAGTACAACAGACAGCAGAAAGAAAATTACTAATAGCATATAGATGACTCAACATGTACATATAACAACATAACAAATATATATGTAAATATACAGTACATGTAAATAAATAAGTGTTACATTTTCTCACACTTCATGCATCACAACACTGTCCCAGTGGATTACAGTGTTCAATATTCTCATACTATACTTCTACATATAGAAAACACATATAAACAAGATACACATATAACACATTTACAGGTCATAAAATATACAACACATTTACAAATAATTTATAAACCTAACTCCACAACAAATAACCTGTAAAAATGTAAAACACATTCACAAGTAACACACATGAACAACATATTACAAGAACTGAGTATATAATATCATCATCATCATTGTCCTATTGTCCCATTACATGTCACACAGGGCCAGCAGTCTATTCCTCCAGTCAGTTCTATCTTGAGCAATCTCTCTGACATCATGGATGGAATCCAGTCCAGCACCTTTGGCCCTTTTCACCAAGATTCATTTCAGAGTTTCCTGTGATCCTCCATCCCCTGATTTCCTATGTTAGTGAAACCGTCTTACAGTCGCCTTACAAGAAGGACACTATGATGCCTTGTAAACTTTGTATTACATACATTCAGGGAATATTATGCAACAAGGAGAAGAGAAATGCTAACTTTTTACCAGACGGCGAACACCAATGTAAACTGGAGAGTAGGGGCACCTTACGTTTTCAGTAACAGGGAAGTATGAGACAGTCTGGCAGTGCAATAACATATTCATGCCTCAGAGTCTTAAATCTTGTCTTCACTTCCTCTTGTACCGTTTTGGGTGTCGAGGGAGATACAAGGCTCGGCTTCTTGCTCTTCTAGCTCACTCAACCATAGACACATTGTGTTGTTGTAGAGTTTCTCTGTTATGTTATCTTTCCAACTTGTTCTTGGTCTACCTTTTGCTCCATGTCCTTCTCTTTTGGTATATGCCTTGTATGGTATGGCGTCAGAAGGCATTCTCTAAGCAGGCAAACCATTTGATTTGCTGTCTCTGTATGTAATTAAGAATTGGTCTGTGCCGACTTTTCTCTTATGACCTCATTTCAGATTTTATCTCTTCTGGTCACCTCTTTGGCCCTTCTCAAACATCTCAGTTCTGTGGTTGCTAATTTTCTTTGGTGGTTTATTGTGAGTGGCCATGTCTGACACCGGCAGCAAGAGGTGGGAATCAATATGCTTTGTATATTTGTGCGCTGATCACGACTGTCTTATGCTAAAGAGGCTGGTTAGCCGTCCCATTGATTGTTTTGCTTTACTGCATCAGATGGTAATTTGTTTCATCCAATTTCCCATCTGTAGTGAATGTTGCCAGATATTTAAACTCACATCTCTGTTTAACACCTCTGCTAGTATATTTAGTGTCTGCTTCTTTGGTTCTACAGACATTACTTTGGTCTTTTCAATGCTGATTCTTACATTATTATGTTTACATTCTTCAGTCACAGATGTGAGAGGCTGTTGCAATTTCATGGCTGTATCTGCTGTCAAGGCCTGGTCATCAGCAAAGAGTCATTTGTGGATCTTACTAGTATTTTCTGTTTCCTGGCTTGGCAACCTTGCATAACATACTGTCTATGTATGTCATAAACAACGCCACTGACAGGATGTTATGGTCAATGGTTGATATTTCCCCTGATTTATTCTAACTGTACTTCGACAATACCTATATAAACTTTTAAACACTTTGAAAGTGAAAAACTTTGGCCATATTAAGTATCCCAGTGGTTTTGACAGATCAGTAATGAAGGCATGGTGACTGGGAAACAAGGCAGGGATTAATCAATTTGACAGAATAAAGATTTCCTGGACAGGAAAATGTTTAAGGCAGAGGAACTAGTGAAGAACTGAGAATAATTTTAGGTAGACTGTGACAAGAGCACCATTCTGCAAAATACCTGCTACATGATGAAGATGACAATTATGAATGAGTCAAAAAGCTAAATGTCAGTCTGCAGGCTGAATAATCTCACATGACACCTCGGGAAACTGATGGACAAGTTAAATATATTTGACATTCTCTGGCAATTTATGAGAGGAAAACTCCAGTCAAAGTCCAAAAGTGGACCAACAGCCAGGACTTTCTGTTTACAGCCAGTGAACACAAACAATCTTCTGTATAATTTAAACTAGAGTCATCTTGTTTAGATGTAGCAACCTTCAAGAAAGAAAGAGGATGCTTACCTGAGACGGTGTTAGGACATCCCACAGGCCATCACAGGCTAGGACCAGGTACTCCTCCTCTCCAGTCAAAGGAATCCTGATGGCATCAGCATCGCTGGAGACGTAGGGTTTAAATGGGGCATCACCTGCAATGTTGCATAATCATGCTTTTCAAAGATGTGATCTCACGTCTCCTCGGGGTGGAGCTTGTTTTCTAACCAAGCACGTTAAACAGCCTGAAGTCCCCTTGTGGGTTCCTGGGATCCATTGTGGTAAACACAAGAACAGACCCACTGCCTCCCGCATGTTGAAGTGTCGCAGTCTAGAATATGTGAAGAACTAACATTATCTTTTATTAATTTGTTAGCTATCTATTTAGAAAGTCAGGGGAAATCCACAGTTGATGGGGCACTTGACTATTTCAGGGGATGCAAGGCCCAAGTGTGCTGTGTACTGGTGTGGCATATTTCTGTGTTTTGGTGCGCAGTCGGTCGGCTGGTGTACAATACTGGTCATATTTTCAGGTCTCCTTGTCATGTGAATGTCTAGTGTAGTTGGTAGCACATCTGCCTTGCAATCGAAAGGTGCCGCATTCAACAAATACACATCTGATATTTTTGGTTTTCTTGCTCTTTATTGAAAATGTAAAATTATTGTAAATTTCAGCTCTTAGAACACTTTCAGCAATGGATGACCCAAGTATTATTATTTAAACAAACATAAGAGTAATAACACAGATATACAATTAATTATGATTAGCAATATGTTTGTGAAACTATGTGCAATCAGAAATTGCCAACTGGAGTACTATGGGGGCCCTGAAAGGGTGCCAATCATTCTAGATGTATACTGCTAGGTTCATGCACGAATTGACAATCACAACAATGTTACACGTAAGCAAAGTTGAAGGCATCTATACCACTGTGGGCTTTAGTGTGGCACTTATTTCTTCTCTCCTTTGCCGACATCCGCATACATTCGATGTATTGTGTCTGCGCACCGGTGGTGGGGTCGACAAAATTGATGGAGTGAATGACGCTGAGATGCGTCAATCCAGGAATATTCTCAATTCCATTGTACGCACGCCCCAGGTCGGAGACTACTATCGAGTGCCGGGTCTGATGTTTGTGCTAATGATGGGCAGAAGCGACTCTGCTTTTCTGTCTGGAAAGCAGATCATAGACAGCATTCTCCCGTCTTATGACAGACTCCAACGAATACCCACTGTTGTGGAAACACACATGTCCTACATGATTTTTTTGCCTTGCAAACAGACTTTCATTATTTTCAACAGAGGTGTTCTCTCCTCCGCTGATCACTGCAGGATTCTATAAAAATGTATTGGCACAATCTTCTGTAAGAATTTGTGCTTTATTCCACAGTTGTGTTCGACGACATGCCCTAGCCCGGATGAAGACTGGAACAAGACCACAAGTAAGAGGCGCCCCTTGGTAACGCCCACCATAACCTTGGCAACGCGCTCTTCCAAAAGGAAGGTAGAACTGCACTGCCAGAAAAGCCCTATCTTACCAACCTCAAAATTATTTGACTGATCCTGTGACGTCATTGGGATAACTAAAAAAGAAAATACCGCATTATTTGCTGCGGGACTGCCTTGAGAAGATGGTGTGGATCAGATTGTTCAACTAACTCTACTCCGGGGTCAAAATGTTGAAAGCAGAGAAAGATTACTAATAAAACAATTCTGGCTATGATCCGTGCTAGGCATCTGTGAGCCTGACTCTGCCTGGGGGTTGCCAGTTCAATAGCCCTGGTTTAGCCTGGACAGAATGAGGTACCTGGGTGTAACCCGGGGGTATGGCCAGCTTACTACACTCAGGGGAAAGGCAAGATGTACATATAACCAGATTACGACCATTATTAGTATAGGAACTCTGTGCTGGCTGCTGAAGATGAGGACGGAGTAACCATGGGAATGTCTGAGAGCTGTGATGTCAATTCTTGACTCAATTACTTAAAAAACCCTGGTGAAGATGCTTGACTTTTGGTGAATTTTGGTCCTCAGTGTTTGGAGATTCTTCAATGTTACCTTTTTAGAACATCAAGTATATCTGTTCTCAGCCTGCCTCTGTCACTTCCGCAGCTGACCTTTCCAATCAATTTCAGAGAAAAAGGCAGAGAAACAAACACAAAGGAACAGCAGTTGGGAAACAGCTAGCGATATAATAATTAGAGATACAATTGCAATAAAAGCTGAAAAAAACAACTATAGAAAAACAACTAGAGATACAATGTAATAAAATAAGCAGATGGAAAACAACTATAGATAAACAGCTAGATATATATATATAAAACACCTGGAAAACAACTATATGCATGCAGCTAGAGACATAATGTATTACAATAAACGGCCAGGAAACCAAAAATGTTGAAGGCTCAGCGGATGGTAAATAGCTAAAGACAATACAGCCAGAAATAAAATGTATTAAAATAATCAGCTGGTAATTATGAAGACACAGCAAATACAATAAACCTGAAAAGAGCAGCTAGGAAATGATAAAACCGAGGATAATAGCTGGGAAACAACCATGGATAAACAGCTAGAGAAGCCATGTATTGAAATAAACAGCTGGTAAACAATAAACATAATGGTTAGGGATATAATACACTTGGAAACAGTAAGACAAGTGGGAAATAATACACCCGAAGACACACCAGCTGGGATTTAATAAACCTGAAAATGGGAAATAATAAACCTAAAGATATGGCAGCTGTGATATAATAAACCTGAAAATGGGAAATAAAAAACCTGAAGATATGGCAGCTGTGATATAATAAACCTGAAAATGGGAAATAATAAACCTGAAGATATGGCAGCTGTGGACAGAATAAAGAAATAAAAACTGACATTTAACTCACCTATTGCCCTGGAAACAGAAATATTGCCGTTGACCCTCCAAACGCCCAAAAACAGCACACAGCCACCAAGATCTTCTATCCTCCTTCGCTCATCCTGAAAAAAAAAAAACAACAACAATGAAATGGGCTCAGGTGCAGTAAAGCTGTGGCCATTATGCAGAAAAAAAAGGGGTCAGCTTTCATTATCAACATCATCTCTCTGTGTTGTTTATACACAACATTCGGCTCGCAGTCTATTCCTTTATTCTATTCTATGCTGGGCAATCATTTCAATAACATGGACGGAATCCATTCCAGCACCTTTGGCCTCCCTCATTAACATTCAACTTGGGGGTTTCTCTCAGAATCCTGTACAATCAACACACTGCAATGATGCCAATTCTAGGGTATGATTATCACAGGCAACGTACAACAAGCGTGCAACATTGGCTTAACAGGTTATGTCCCAATATCACGCTGCTGCACAGAATTAACCACACAGAAAACAGGCTGTACGATTACAGACAGCCCTGTTTAATCATGGACATATACATCACAATCATTCTGTGATGAATGAAATCAGCATAGCAGGTCTATGAACCTCAATTGTACAACAGCTATGAAGGCGTCACACCTGACAGCAATGGGAGTGTCAAATCAATGCACAGACACAAACATGGCTATGTGCTGCTCCCATACACTCCTGTATGATCAGTAAATCACTGCACAGACAGACACAAATATGGCTATGTGCTGCTCCCAAGCACTCCTGTATGATGAGCCCTGGTAAGTCACATGGCTATCTATTTGAAGTTTACCTGGTAAGCCACATGGCTATTTATTTGAAGTTGCCCTGGTAAGCCACATGGCTATTTATTTGAAGTTGACCTGGTAAGCCACATGGCTATTTATTTGAAGTTGCCCTGGTAAGTCACATAGCTATCTATTAGAAGTTGCCCTGCTAAGTCACATGGCCATCTATTTGAAGTTGACCTGGTAAGTCACATGGCTATCTATTTGAAGTTGCCCTGGTAAGTCACATGGCTATCTATTTGAAGTTGCCCTGGTAAGTCACTTGGCTATCTATTTGAAGTTGCCCTGGTAAGTCACATAGCTATCTATTAGAAGTTGCCCTGCTAAGTCACACGGCTATCTATTTGAAGTTGACCTGGTAAGCCATATGGCTATTTATTTCAAGTTGCCCTGGTAAGTCACACGGCTATCTATTTGAAGTTGCCCTGGTAAGTCACATGGCTATTTATTTGAAGTTGCCCTGGTAAGTCACATGGCTATTTATTTGAAGTTGCCCTGGTAAGTCACATGGCTATCGTGGACTTCCAGTGACTTGACAATGATGGATCACAAGAGACAATTGTTGTATTTCTGCTGCATTATTCATTGTTATATTTTATTATGTATTCATGTTACTGCAGTATAACGCACCTGATGAGATGCAGCGAAATATGACCAGTAATAAATTGTGCAATGTATTGTTTATATCCGCACTATTTCATTTTCCTTTATGACTTGCATATCAAAGCCAAGGAAACACATCTCAATTTCATCAGCTCATCTGCTCTCCACTTAAGTGCCAGTTTAGTGATTCTCAGTCCATGTCTCTCCCTCGTGTGCCCAATATACCACCATCTGCTTTGTCTTCACCACAGTCCGTTTAGTCCATGTGCCTCCCTAATGTGCCCAATATACCACCATCTGCTTTGTCTTATAAATGTTGACACCACAGTCTGTTTAGTCCATGTGCCTCCCTTATGTGCCCAATATACCACCATCTGCTTTGTCTTATAAATGTTGACACCACAGTCTGTTTAGTCCATGTCTCTTCCTGGTGTGCCCAATATACCACCATCTGCTTTGTCTTATAAATGATGACACCACAGTCTGTTCAGTCCATGTCTCTCCCTGATGTGCCTTATATACCACCATCTGCTTTGTCTTATAAATGTTGACATCACAGTCTGTTCAGTCCATGTCTCTCCCTGATGTGCCTTATATACCACCATCTGCTTTGTCTTATAACTGATGACACCACAGACATTACTCTTCCCCCCCCCCCCTCACTTTTCTTGAATTCATTCTATTTAATGTTCAATTTCCTAAGCCATTTATTTTTTATTGCATTCAATGTTTGTTCCATGTCCTTTAGTAGTTCTTTAACTTTCACTTGCAGCTTTAAAAAAAAAAATACAATCACAAGGGATAGAATGGACTTATGGTGGCCAGAAACACACTGTCAAGCAGAATCCACTCTGTCAATTATGAATTAGACAATCAAAGCAAACAACAAAATCTTCACGCTAAAACTGCCACACAAGGCAAAACAGAAATTATTCAGTATTATCATCATTATCAAGTTGCTAAGGCACAATCCTTATGGATATCTGATTCAGTCAAAAGAGCGCTAACAACTACTTACCTCTCTCTCCGGTTTGTGTGGGGTCATTATCTGCACCGGCTGACCCGAACAGACCAGCAGTGCTTGGGAGTCGCCCAGCCACCCCAAATACATCTCGGATTCTCGGATAAGCACAGACACTCCTGTTGTTCCACTTCTCAAGCCCTGGAAAGAAAGAGACATATTTATGATGCGTCTCTCACATAACTGAAACAACTGCAGCCGGCCAACCTTTCCCAGCAGTGAGCTTATACTGACCACATGAAAGACTTTGGTTGGTGGACTTTAAAGAATCTGGTATGAAAATCAGGGATGTGCAATACCTCCATGTCTCTTTTTACAGTGAAAGTAAGAGACACCTAAAAGACATAAGGGGAATCAATATGGGAGGATATAATATATCCACAATTTAAAATATGGAGATGATAGTGATGACTACAAATATAACGAACATGACCTGTAGCGTTTAGTGGATGCAGTAAAAGTTCACAACGAGTAACTAGGCTTAGAATTAAATTGTGAGAAAACAGAAATTCTGGTCATCGCCAAGAAGAAAGAAACAGCAAAGTGTGAAATAAACAACCACAAAATCTCCTGCAAGTCAACAGACACAACTTTCATACCTTCCGACAAGTATCAATCATGGCAAAGGCACCTTCAGCAAGACACAACTTTCATACCTTCCGACAAGTATCAATCATGGCAAAGGCGCCTTCAGCAAGACACAACTTTCATACCTTCCGACAAGTATCAATCATGGCAAAGGCGCCTTCAGCAAGACACAACTTTCATACCTTCCGACAAGTATCAATCATGGCAAAGGCGCCTTCAGCAAGACACAACTTTCATACCTTCCGACAAGTATCAATCATGGCAAAGGCGCCTTTAGCAAGACGCAACAAAAAAGATGTCAATTACAATGAGAAAAAAGAGATAACGTGCTGTACAAAAACTTGGGTTGTTATATGCATGTCAGACATGGACAATAAATATACAAGCCAAAAAAGCATTTACTTGCAACAGATGTACGGTTTTTGACAAGAACGCCAAGAAAAGCATAGACTGATAGGAAAAAAAACAAGACAGTCCTCACCGAGAAGATGAATCTTTACAGAAAAATTAGATGTAGACTGCGTTTTTCAGACACAATATGACATGGACTTGAAAACTAAATAAGGACTAACAAGATTGATGGAAGGAGAGCAAGGGTAAGGCAAAGAGAAACATAACTGGATGGCTTAGCATGGTAAGTGTATTGGCATGGCACATGTTGATGCTGAAGGAAAGATAACCTTCAGGAAACAGCATAAAGGAACTATTATTTAAAAAATAATAATAAGACGCTGGCACATTTTTACGAGATGTGATTCTGTTAAACGACACATCCTCACTCATTTGCATGTACATCATAAACAACGCAGAGGAAGCTTTAGCACAGGAGATGCGGGAAGTTGTATGATTTTGTTGTTGTTGTAGGTTTAGTATACTAGTGCAATTATTTCCAACACTCGAGGATCATCCCTGGAGCTGTTTTGTGGGACAGTTCAGCAGGCAGCCAGCCACACAGAGCATACAACCCAGTCTAATGAAGATAATCTTATGGCTCTTAAATTTTGCCCGGCTCTCTAGCGAAGTTGGTTAAACCTGACTTTCGCGGCGGCCGGGTGACGAACTCCTTGTGGTCCGGGTTCACTCCCGGGGGTAGGCAGAAAAGCCACATTTCTCCCAGATTAACGGTACCTATAATGGAATCAAGGCCGAAGGGTTACGATATCCATAGTACCGAGCCAAAGGGTTTACAACTCATGGTTTCTGGATACGTAAAAAAAAAAAAAAAAAAAAAAAAAAAAAAAAATGGCTCTTAAAGCTTTCCCACAGACCCGTATAAGGCTTCTACCATCATCATCATCCCTTTCTGCCAGGTATTCTTCACCTATGACCCCAGATGATTCATCCATCCCATCCTCAGCAGTCTTTTCAATACTGTGTACAGAATCGTGAATGGCACCTCAGATCTCTCTCACCACTGTCTGTCGGAGTTTTTCTCTACAATGTCAATGCTTGCTCAAATCATTTGTTTCCCATTTCAGTGCTTCATGACTTCTAAACCACACATTTAAAAACAAACGATATCCACTGGATACATTTCACACTCTCTTAGAAACTTTCTTGAGTACGTAAGGTGACAAAAACAGAGAACAAGTGGCCAAAATTTATCACCCAATGATCCAGTATATGAAAAACCCCAAACACTGCAGAGACTCTAGAACCACACATAATAACCACTGCTAACTGTATGAATACCTCTCGTTTTGCCTTCTCCAAAAACTTGATGTCTGTGGTTTTGTATGCCTGTGTCATTGCTGCCTCAGGGTCAGTGTGGAACCGCTGGTCACTGACCAAGTGTCCATGGAGGTGGGTTGCTGCGTACTCTGCTGCCTCTAGGCCACCATGACCATCAAATACTGCAAAGTAAGACTGTTTGGGACTGTCCTGTGAGGGGTAGAAGAGTTAACGTTACTACAGGGACTGTCCTGTGAGAGGTAAAGTAGGAGAAGAGTTAATGTTACTACAGGAACTGTCCTGTGAGAGGTAAAGTATGAGAAGAGTTAATGCTACTACAGGAACTGTCCTGTGAGAGGTAAAGTAGGAGAAGAGTTAATGCTACTACAGGAACTGTCCTGTGAGAGGTAAAGTAGAAGAAGAGTTAATGCTGCTACAGGGACTGTCCTGTGAGAGGTAAAGTATGAGAAGAGTTAACGTTACTACAGGAACTGTCCTGTGAGAGGTAAAGTAGGAGAAGAGTTAGTGCTACTACAGGGACTGTCCTGTGAGAGGTAAAGTAGGAGAAGAGTTAATGCTACTACAGGGACTGTCCTGTGAGAGGTAAAGTAGGAGAAGAGTTAATGCTACTACAGGAACTGTCCTGTGAGAGGTAAAGTAGGAGAAGAGTTAATGCTACTACAGGAACTGTCCTGTGAGAGGTAAAGTAGGAGAAGAGTTAATGCTACTACAGGAACTGTCCTGTGTCAGGTAAAGTAGAAGAAGAGTTAATGTTACTACAGGGACTGTCCTGTGAGAGGTAAAGTAGGAGAAGAGTTAATGCTGCTACAGGGACTGTCCTGTGAGAGGTAAAGTAGGAGAAGAGTTATGTTACTACAGGAACTGTCCTGTGTCAGGTAAAGTAGAAGAAGAGTTAATGTTACTACAGGGACTGTCCTGTGAGAGGTAAAGTAGGAGAAGAGTTAATGCTACTACAGGAACTGTCCTGTGAGAGGTAAAGTAGAAGAAGAGTTAATGCTACTACAGGAACTGTCCTGTGAGAGGTAAAGTAGGAGAAGAGTTAATGTTACTACAGAGACTGTCCTGTGAGAGGTAAAGTAGGAGAAGAGTTAATGTTACTACAGAGACTGTCCTGTGAGAGGTAAAGTAGGAGAAGAGTTAGTGCTACTACAGGAACTGTCCTGTGAGAGGTAAAGTAGGAGAAGAGTTAATGCTACTACAGGAACTGTCCTGTGTCAGGTAAAGTAGAAGAAGAGTTAATGTTACTACAGGGACTGTCCTGTGAGAGGTAAAGTAGGAGAAGAGTTAATGCTACTACAGGAACTGTCATGTGAGAGGTAAAGTAGGAGAAGAGTTAATGCTACTACAGGAACTGTCATGTGAGAGGTAAAGTAGGAGAAGAGTTAATGCTACTACAGGAACTGTCATGTGAGAGGTAAAGTAGGAGAAGAGTTAATGCTACTACAGGAACTGTCCTGTGAGAGGTAAAGTAGAAGAAGAGTTAATGCTACTACAGGAACTGTCCTGTGAGAGGTAAAGTAGGAGAAGAGTTAATGTTACTACAGAGACTGTCCTGTGAGAGGTAAAGTAGGAGAAGAGTTAATGTTACTACAGAGACTGTCCTGTGAGAGGTAAAGTAGGAGAAGAGTTAGTGCTACTACAGGAACTGTCCTGTGAGAGGTAAAGTAGGAGAAGAGTTAATGCTACTACAGGAACTGTCCTGTGTCAGGTAAAGTAGAAGAAGAGTTAATGTTACTACAGGGACTGTCCTGTGAGAGGTAAAGTAGGAGAAGAGTTAATGCTACTACAGGAACTGTCATGTGAGAGGTAAAGTAGGAGAAGAGTTAATGCTACTACAGGAACTGTCCTGTGACAGGTAAAGTAGGAGAAGAGTTAGTGCTACAACAGTAACTGTCCTGTGAGAGGTGAAGTATGAGAAGAGTTAGTGCTTAGCTGTAAAATGCAATATAATTTACCAACCACCCTTTTAAGGGTGAATGTGGAAGAAGAAGCATCTAGAACAATCAGCAAGAAAGCCAAAAATGTTGAAACATCCCCTGAGGCCACAGAGATGTAGTTTTACAGAACAATGCCTAACACTCCTTGGATAGACAAAAATGAGAACTGGAAATATTCTGAAGAGGCTATATGTTTCTGTGCTGGCCACATTATGAGAACAGGAAAACTGGAACATGGGAGAACTGAGATAGAGGAAGACAACCTCGGAAGATCCTTGACAACTCATATCACAGTCATGGTATGGATGGGTGTCAGATAAGCAGGTCCATGCTTTTGTAGATTACAATATGTGGCAACATTCCTGGTAATGATGATAATCAGCACCAGCTGCAGTACTACACCGAGTAGTCTTATTACAGCCCATGCCATGTGTCATATGTATGTGTCGTATGTATGTGTCATATGTATGTGTCGTATGTATGTGTCATATGTATGTGCCATATGTATGTGTCATATGCACAGGCTGGTGTGTCATGTAGTACCACAGAACAGCCACAGTTCTTTTACCTTTAGATCATACAGGACGTTGAGATCTGGTATCAGGACATGGCGATCCTCCATCTTGCGGCGTGTGTTCTTGATGGCGTGGGAGTACACTTGTAGAGTGCTGGGCTGGGTGACCAACAGGGGTGGACTTGTATTCCAGGATTTCACGGTGCTGTGGATGCAGCAGACCACTTCCTGCAGCAGTCTGCAGGCATCAAGTTCTGCAAGCATCAGCAAAGAGGAAATGACAAGGCAAAGTTCTGCAAGTATCAGCAAAGAGGAAATGACAAGGCAAAGTTTTGCAAGTATCAGCAAAGAGGAAATGACAAGGCATGGCAAGACACTATCAGTTTTCAAAAGCCTAAACAAAATATAGAACTTTCAATTGTATAGTTTGACTTCGGATTTCAAAATGGCGGGTAGCAGCGGTGGGTTTTTTTTTTTTTGCTGGCCGTCAATTCTCTCGGATTGTTCTGTTTCCTTTTCATGGATAGCTATTTTGTGTGCATTTCCAACGCAAGATACTATGTGTTTTCATGGGAGCAGCGTGTATTGTGGTTGAGCTGTGTTGGGGCGGGATTATGACTAATAGTTCTGGCAGCCTCAAAAAGGCTGCCTTCGCAATGTTTTGATTGCGTCGGCCCACTCAGAAAGACAGAATCTCGTCAGCAGGGGACTGCAACTGTCTAGAGAGCAAACTTGATAAAAGCTGTCCCCAGAAACGGAATGTGTCAACAATTTTTTTTTTTTGGGTGGGAAGTAATCGACACATACGGTTAACTCAATGGCCATGATTTGTCCAGATCACAGATTAAATCTGTTAGTCTGGATGACATACTATACTTTATGGATGGCATTTCTGTCTTGGCCATAATAAAATCAGTCTCATTATTTAATTGTCAGGTTGTGTATGACCATAACTGTAGGCCGTGGGGAGCAGAATATGACCTTCACAAAGTTAACATTGGGGAGAAGAAAATAACCCTCACATTCATAACACTGTGGAGAAAAAATTACCCTCACATACATAACAGTGCAGAGAAAAATATGAACTTACATACTTAACACTGCCGAGAAGAATATGACACTCACATACATAACACATTATGAGAAGCATATGACACTCACATACATAACACTGCGGAGAAGAATATAACACTCACATACATAACACTGCGGAGAAGAATATAACACTCACATACATAACACTGAGGAGAAGAATATGACACTCAGATACGTAACACTGCGGAGAAGAATATAACACTCACATACATAACACTGCGGAGAAGAATATAACACTCACACACATAACACTGCGGAGAAGAATATAACACTCACATACATAACACTGAGGGGAAGAATATGACACTCACATACATAACACTGAGGAGAAGAATATAACACTCACATACATAACACTGCGGAGAAGAATATAACACTCACATACATAACACTGAGGGGAAGAATATGACACTCACATACATAACACTGAGGAGAAGAATATGACACTCAGATACGTAACACTGAGGAGAAGAATATAACACTCACACACATAACACTGCGGAGAAGAATATAACACTCACATACATAACACTGAGGGGAAGAATATGACACTCACATACATAACACTGAGGAGAAGAATATAACACTCACATACATAACACTGCGAGGAAGAATAAAACACTCACATACATAACACTGAGGAGAAGAATAAAACACTCACATACATAACACTGCGAGGAAGAATAAAACACTCACATACATAACACTGAGGAGAAGAATATAACACTCACATACATAACACTGCGGAGAATATAACACTCACATACATAACACTGAGGAGAATATAACACTCACATACATAACACTGAGGAGAAGAATATAACACTCACATACATAACACTGCAGAGAAGAATATGACACTCACATACATAACACTGCGGAGAATATGACACTCACATACATAACACTGAGGAGAAGAATATAACACTCACATACATAACACTGCAGAGATGAATATGACCCTCACAAACTTAACAATGGAGAGAAGAAAATTACCCTCACATACATAACACTGCGGAAAAGAAAATGACACTCACATACATAACACTGCAGAGAAGAATATGACCCTCACAAACTTAACAATGGAGAGAAGAAAATTACCCTCACATACATAACACTGCGGAGAAGAATATGACTCTCACATACATAACACTGCGGAGAAGAATATGACACCCAAATACATAACACTGTGGAAAAGAATATGACCTTTACATACTAAACACGTGGGGAGAAGAACATGACCCTCACAGACTTAACATAGGGGAGAAGAATATAACCCTCGCATAATTACCATTGGGGAGAAGAATATGATCCTGAGATACTTAACATTGGGGAGAAAAATATGACCCTCATGTAATTAACACGGGGGAGCAGAATAAGACTCTCACATAATTAACACTGGGGAGCAGAATATGACCATCACACATAATGACATGGG